GGAAGGTCGAAGGGGAGGCAGGTTGGCTTAATAAATGTAACTCACAAAGGCATTCAACATTTGAGCTACAGATGAGAAAGAGACATTGGAATGTGACTTCATTTCAAAGCTACGAATCTAAACACAGACTCAAACACACAACGTCGCACTAATGATAACGCAGCAATGGTTTTTAAAGAATGTAATGATTTTTCTGAAAAACTACGGAGGAGCTTATGTTGCTAAAAATATCTGCTTGTACTGCTGTCATAAATCTGCCGAATCATTAGCTGATAAACGACATAATAAATTAGTAATAGGATTGATTCGCTGATTAGCTGACAAGCTGGAACAAACTAACCGCGATAGCGGTCATTGCTATCTGATGTCATGGCCTTTTCGACCATGACTAGGGTCTTAGATATCGGGATTAGGTCAATAAAAATCTCACGTGGAACGCCCTTTGTCTTTGGGAAAGATAAATGGCTGCTCACCACTCGTAGAGCATCACGTGTAAAAGTGAGTGCTTTATGAAGACGGTAATGACGTCATCGTGGTTTTCGATTTATACGCCTGGTGGGAGTTGGTGGTTTTCAGTCTGTGGATCTGGAAATAAAAGAAAAATGAAGACAAGTTAGTTTTGGTCAAACATGTGAGTACTAAGAGGACTGCTGTCTGAAACCGCACCTAAATATAGATATCAGGTGCCTCCAAAGAAATACTCATAAATGGTCGCTTTTAAGCACAAGGGGGCTATCCTGAAAAATGCTGTTTTGAGAATATCTAAGTTAAAGTTTTTGCCCCTTGTTCAGTTTCTTTAAAAGACAGGAGGGTTTTCTCTATAACCAAACATATGCACACAGCAATGAAACCAAACTTCTCTTATAGATAGGGCAATGCCCACGTTTGGTGTAGGTCAAGATATCTGGAAATCCCCGAAATCTGGGTTAGCCCGCTTGTCCTTAAAAGCGACCAAATAGTTAAGACTCCTGTTAAATAAAATAAAACAACAGAAGGTGAGTGTCACTCAGTGTGTCGTGTAGCAGTGCTGTGTTCAGTGTCTGTTAACCTGTGCATAAGGCTGTCTTCCACTCGAACTTAAGCCTGTTTACTTTCGTCTGTGTGTGTGTTGGAAAAATCTAGCTCTTTTGTTAATTTGTTCTTCTGTCACAAAATTTTGCGTGGCACTTATGGAGGCCATCGACCAAACAAAATTATTAAAAAAATAAAACAAAAATCTTGACCCAGTAAAAGCACAAACAAAAGAACAAACTCTGTATCTTGTTTTAACCACCCTGTATCTTGTTTTAACCACGAAAGTGAACAAGCTATAGTTAGAGGTTTTTAAAAATAAAAGCCAGGCTTTCACGTATGGCTTGTTCATTTTGCTTTATGGTATATATATATAAAGAGCGGTTATATAAATATTAGGCGAGGTATACATGTAATTATGGGCTCCCTTCGTAAGCTTTTGTACAGGTGAGACGCCACAATAAACATTGCCGGGTCAATTAGGAGCCGAGAATAGAGATCAGCGACAGACAGCAGCGTGTGTGGTTGAAAGAACTGAGACGTCAGTGAAACTTAGAACGTAGATGAGGCCCCTCCTTCAATTTGTTTTGTTGCCTTCAAAGTTTCACAGTATCCAGAGCATTTATTTTGGTTGTATGTAAATTAACGGGTGGAGCGTTTTGATACGTTTTTTTTTCACGTTAGAAGTATCCAAACATACACACGCTAGCGCACCCCCCCCCACACACATACAGACACACACAAGCACACACACTAATGCATACAAAACATGCACACACGCATGCTCACATACATGCATTCATTCAAACATAAAAATAAGCAAATACACGATCAAATTAAACATGTTATGTCTCAACCAATGGGAGCAGATAAACGTGCAACTGTCAGATGAATATGAGATGAAATGCGCAAGGATTGAATAAGACTAGAGCATAATAATATATTTATCTACTCCCCACCCCCCCAACAACAAAAAGCCAGGCAAAAACAAACAAAAAACGAACAAACGAACAAACAAACAAACAAACAAACAAATGGGGATAAAAGCATAATTTAGATAAACATGTGTGGTATAAATATATCAAACTTTAGTAGAGATCTGTACCCACAAAATGTAACGCAGGTTTCAAATGAAACAATTATGATTTCAAAGAAAGACAAACTAAATGCGCAAGAAAGCAGGGTCCCTCTACCTAATATTATATACTGTGTCGATGCGGACGTGAAACGTTTTCAGCTGTGAAAGAGGACAGATGCAGACAGAATTTTTCAAAGCACTATCTGTACTTATGACAGTGTTTCCCTTACACTAATCCCCTCCCCAACTCTCTCTCTCTCTCTCTCTCTCTCTCTCTCTCTCTGTCTCTCTCTCTCTCTGTCTCTCTGTCTCTGTCTCTGTCTCTCTGTCTGTCTGTCTGTCTGTCTCTCTCTCTCTCTCTCTCTCTCTCTCTCTCTCTCCCTATGAACCCCTTATGGATGTCAGAGGTCCCTATAAACTCTCAACTTTGATAATTATCGTAGATCGCGGTGGCAATGACAGTTCACCATAATATGGGAGTAGGCGTTTTACGGCACTTGTAACACAATAAGATGATATAAGTGCCGAAGATTAGTGGCGTTACAAGAGAGTGACAAACACAAAAAGAAGGAGGAAAAGAGATATGGACGATAGATGTTGGTTGGGTAAAAAAGGAGCGAATTACACCAGAGCACCCGGCACTACCCGCATCTAAGAGTACAAATCTACCAGTATACAAACGCCTGATTCAACATAGACTGCATGTATCCGGGACGGCTCGGTGCAATTAGAATCTACGTCCGCCTGGTAAAGGACTGAGCTAAGACCACAGAGTCATAAAAATACTACAAGAAAACGAAATCCATCGGGATACTTATTGCGGGGGGCCGAACTCACGACTTTCAGAAATAAGGCAAAGTTCCCAGCCACTTGAGCACACTGACATCTTCCCCCACCCCCAAACCCTCACCTCTTAACCCTCACTTTGACGTGTTGCAAGACATTGCTTTACGACCCATTAAAAGTACAAATTCTGTGGTCGTCCGGTTTGTTTCGCATTTTCTCGCACATCTGTTAGACATGTTTTGGACTGTGACCTTTCAATCCCTGGCACGAGTGAGTCTAAATTTAGCTCTGGCCCTTGGAGCCGAGAGGGTTTGGATCTCAGAATTTTGAGAACAGGTGAGCTCCTGGGGTCTGGGGAAGAAAGTTTCTTTTTTCCTTTTGATCAAGTGAACATTTTGGTTTATTTTTCTTTTTTCTAAATCCCGGTGCTGCTGTCGCCGTTTTTACTTCATAGCTGTCTGTCTGCTTTTCCCTTTCGGCGCCCTGCTCCTGCTTGTGTTTCTTTGCGCCTGTCTCATTCTCTTTCGTGTTAGAGAAATGTGTTTTTTTCCCTCAGTTTTCCTTAATCGAAAGCAACAAAAACAGCAAACAACAGCAGCAACAACAACAAAACAAACACAGCAGCAACAATAAATGCTGCAAACAAAATAGCACCGTCTCATTCAGCATCAACAACAACAACAACAACAACAACAACAACAAGAAGAAACAACAATAACAATGATTACGAACCATTAATTTAATAAAAACACTTACAGGAGCAACAGCAACAACATAAACCAATAATAATAATTATGAAAAGCAACTCCAGCAACAACAGCTCAACTCACTTCTTGACTGTCACGCTTTCTGTATTTTAATTGTGCAGTGGATCTGGCTTTGTTTCCCTTTTAGTAAAACACTCTAAGATATGCAGACGACACAGTTCTAATAGCATAAGATGAAGAACACCTACAGAATCTATAAATGTCATCCTGCAAGAGAGTGACAACATGGGCTTAAGCCTTAACATTAAGAAAACTGAAACAATCGTGATAAGCAGAAAAACTCCAACCCCAACATGCAATATGAAAATCAATGATACCACCCTCAAGCAGGTACAACATTTTACATATTTGGGGACCATTATATCATTAGATGGGAGATGTAAAACCGAAATTAAAAGCCGCATTTGCTAAGCAAAAGCAATTTTCCACTAAATGAAACATACTCACGCACATCAATCTGTCTTTGGAAACAAGAAAAAGAGCACTGAAAAGTTACATCGAGCCAATTCTATTATACGGGTGCGAAGCATAGACTATCAATAGACAGCTGGAAAGAACAACTGAGGCTACAGAGTTGTGGTTCATAAGACGCATGCTGCGTATCCCAAGGACAGCTAGAAAAACAAATGAAGAAGTCTTGGCTGAAGCAAATTGCAGATGACAGCTTATGACGAATATACGAAAGCGACAGACAAACTTTATTGGACACACTATGCGGAAAGAAGCAGGGGAGAATATTGTAACAACAGGCAAGTTTGATAGAAAGAGAAGCAAAGGCAGACAGAGGGTAAAGATACTGGACAAGTTGACAACATGGCTGGTAGCAGCAAGAACAACATACACCATTGCAGCTGCAGCGCAGGACAGGGTGAAGTGGAGGTCCATGATCGCCCACGCCAGTCGGCAAGGCACCGGATGATGATGATGATGATGACAATATATA